CACGGAGGTGAACACGGAACACGGAGGGGAACATGGAGGTGAAAACGGAGGGGAACACGGAGGGGAACATGGAGGCCGGTGAATCCCCGTACAGAAGCACAGCAGCATGTTGTCGGGGTTAAAGTTTCCCTCAGAGCGGTTTCACTCTCCCTCTCACTCATCAGGCGCAGACTCAAAAACCACAAAGAGGACGTTTTCTTTGAAAACTCGTTTCATGTCTTCCCGCTTTTACTTCAATTAACTTTTGAAATGTCAACTCTTTCAGACAAAGAGGAGGTGCTGAGGAAGAAGCAGAAGCCGCTGCCTCACTACGAGCCCTGGAGAGGAGGAGCAGGAGGAGGGGGGTTCGGAGGAGGAGCTGCAGGAGGAGCTGGAGGTAGGTTCAGAGGAGCAGGAGAAATAACTCCAGTGAAACTCAACCATGTGGAAATAGGACTGTGGAAATGGAGCATATCAAGTATCCAATGTGTTTGACCAAACCCCTGAATAGTGTATTGCAGGGTAGGCTGAGTATTAGCGCCCACGTATCTATAAATCTAATAATAAACACTCTTCACATCACACACTCATACCATATTGGAAATGTATTACACAATGTTTGGTCTCATATCGTTTAGAAATATTGGCAGTGCTTATTGAGATCGTGCTTTAGCTTCATAGCATCTTATTTTAGCTTTAGCATCAGACTTCAACTTTTAAGCATTGTGCTTTAGCTTCTTAGCTCGATACTTAACTGCGTAGCATCGTACTTTCAGATGTTCTGGAACTTTACTCCTGCATTTCCTTCGTCCAGCTAACTATGGCTAACCTGCAATTTGATTCTTTCTGCAGGATTTCAGTTCAACCAGCAGATGAACGGAGGAGGAGGAGGAGGAGTCTTCTTCACCGGAGGATTCTCTGGCTTCAGCGGAGGGGGAGGGGCTCAGATGTCAAGCTCTGCCCCTCAGACCGAGGGACAGACAGGAGGACAGACAGGAGGACAGACAGGCTCCCCTCTGCAGCAGCAGCTGTTTCAGCTCAGTAAGAAACAAAACTTGATCTGATTCCTTACAAATATATATATATATCTGTTGGGACAATCCTGAGTGTCCTCTTCCAACATGAGAGTAACTTGATAACAAAGGTATCAACTGCAGCTGTGAACATGACAGGATGTGTGATTACCTAGAAGAGCATCAGGACTGTTTGAGGCATATGATAGCTATGTGATTAACATGATGATTCAGCCTCTATGGAGAGAGACATATGACAAGCATGCTCATTTCTGACGTGGAGCTAATCTGAAGTAAACATTGAATACTGCTTTCTATTCCTCCATCTTGTGACTGTGGAACTCCCTCTCTTGGATATCAGCATGTGAAGGACACTGTTCAGGAACTAGTTGATGCTCTGTATGTGATGACTACTTCCATTCTGGAGAGGATCACAGATACATGGATCCTGAGATTCAAGCTCAAGCCGGGGACCAGGGAGAGTTCTCTAACAATACTTAACGAGCTGGTTGTGTTTTGTCTCCAGCCGCCGCCCTCCGCTCCCGAGCGTCTCTCAGCGCCCGGCAGACGGCGGCTGCCCTGCTTCAGTACTGCAGCTCTGGGGACGCGCGGGTCCTTCTGGCCATCCAGAGACACCTCTGTGGGGTCCAGGACGGCAATGGAGACACGTGAGCTCATTTGGTTTATTTGGTTCATTTCGTCTAAGAAACAGGGGGAGATGACAACCACAAGGATCAACCTTCCTAATGCTTATGCTTAGTTTCTAATAACTTGAAAATGAATTGTGTTTAGGATAAACAATAAACAAAGTCGTGCCACATGATCTTTATTTTAGTGCCATGACCAATGTGTCAAATCTTTATATGTCATTGCAT